ATTAATCAAGCAATGAGAATTATGAAATTGTTTCTTATTTGTTCATATGAAATCTTTTTTTCTGCCGTATTCAAAATGGTGATTATCAGTTTACCATCAAGTGAAAAAGAAGTGACTGCATTCTCTTAGATAAAAAGTGCTATTTTACCCCCTATCCGAATTTTAAAAAACGGGAATGCATACAACATTTTTTAAAGTAGAAATATATATATATATATATATATATATTTATATAATTTATTTCCTAAACCGTATTGATTAATTGATTATATTATCTCCTAAGTTTAATTAAAGTAGAATTATTTTAAAAGTGTGCATCCATACTGGTAAGTTATATTTTGAAAGATGTTTTGAAGTAATTTGAAAGCAAAATGTTAATAATGTTTTAACGGGGACTGGAGTTAAATCATCACGAAGAATAATATTACAATTGTAAAAGTAAAAATTAAAACATGTAATTATTGTCATTGATCGGAAATTAGTTGACTTTTCAAGGGGAACAAACCAACTCCCGTTCAATGATCAATAATTGATAGAAATACGTAAATATGAAAGTGTTTCGTCTTTACTCGAGTTATAAATTAAAGCCAAACCGGCAATTCTAGTCAGGCCAAATATTTCCGCGAATAGTTGTTACTCAAAGAACTGATTCTCATGAAGCATTTTAGTCAATTCAATTTGGAGTAAAAATCAATTACTGTAGAGAAATCTTGTTAAAACTCGAGTAATCGTCCCCGACACTATCATCTTTATGTATTTGAGTACTATATTATTTGTAGAAATTAAACATTGGAAATTGTCATTATGAAATCGAAATCAAAGTAAAGTTTGAAATAAACATAGAAGATTATAAAAAAGATAAATAATGCAAACTTTGCAAAAACAAATCAAAGAGAACATAAAAATAATATAAAAAAATATAAAAAATAAAATAGAAAATAATATAAATAAGATCAGTGAATGTACATGAAGATATAAAGGCCAGAAAGGTATTAAGTAACTTACATTCTTTCTAGTGGGGGAGTTGGAAGTGTGTTCTCTTCGTGTCTGACTCAGAAGTGTAGGGTGTCCGAAAATTCTTAGCGGCAGTAGGGGCTTTGAATTATATATCAGTCGGCAAGACTTGGGTGAAGAAATTTATGGTAGTGGGTGGGACTTGGAATTCTTGAGGGATGTATTTTGTGGAGTTCTTATCTGAGAGAGACCGTCTGTTAAGATTTTTTTAAAAATACTAGTGAATGGAAATTAATTAATTTCTGGCTAATTGTCGTGTCGCAATGATTAAGAATTTAAGAAAGGAAAAAGGCATTTTCGCTATCCAAGAGCTAGTAGACAGTCTAAAGGCAGGAAATAGGCCCATTTTTTTAGTAACAGTATAGTAACAGTATATGTCTGAAGACAATTAGCTTTTTACAATATATACAATTGAGTAATTACACTATGTGCAAATCTTTCAACTGACAGTCATCCAACTTATACCGCCTTCTCAGGTTTAGGAATAAATTATCATATCCCTATCAGTTAAATGATTTAGAGTGAGTATTTAACGCCTGCTCTTTTAAGGCAATGGTTGATAAATTGAAAGGGAATTAGATTATTTTTGAGAATTTTGATAAGGATCAAAATTTCGCGTTGTAAATCTATTGTATCTGTGCATATAGTTTTAATTCGTTGTATTTGATTAATTATAGTATTGTTAATTACTTTTTTGGATATGTTGGAGTTCCAATTTATTAATTTGTTAGTATTGAAATTGAAGTTTCTTGTTTTGTCAAAAAGTAAAATTTTTTTGTAGTTAATGATTTGAAGATCTAGAAAGTCTATGCTATTTTGTGAATTATTAGTTTTATTAAGTTTAAGACAATTCGGATAAATGTCGGAGTTTTCAATTTTACCAAAATTATTAATTGTAATAAGGTCATCAATAAATCTGTAGGTGTGTTTGTAGTAATTTAACTCTTGTGGTTGTAGATTTTTTTGGAAGTTAAATTCTTTGACAAATAAAAAGATATTACAGATCGAGGTGCTGGAATGTAAGCCCATTGGCAATCCTCTGACTTGTTTAAAAAGTTGATTTTGAAACTTGATGTAGTTATGAAAAAGTGTGCATTTTAGGTAGGTTTTCCATTTGTCAAGAGTCATGATATTGAGTATATTAGGGAAAAGTTTTGGTAGATCAAGTAGACTGGTATAGATTTCTTCTAGAGGAAGTGAGGTATATAAGTTTTCAAAATCATAGCAGTTAATGTTTTGGATGTTAATGGTATGAATGGTATTAATGACAGGAGTGTTATTATGAATGATCCAGCAAGTTATGATTAGTGTTACAATCATTGAAAATAAATTTACAGATTTTATTAAGTTGAATTGAAAAATAATAGTCTATATTTTTCTTGTAATTATTAGTTCCATTAGCTATAAATCTAAATTTTAATGGTGTTTTATGGAATTTGGGAATCGCATAAAGATTAGTAAATCTGTTGTAGTTTGCATTGAAAGTAATATTGAGTTTCTTATGAAAAGTTTTAATCCTGTTTATTATAGATGTTTCTGTAAGGTTGGCTGATTGATAAGTAGTTGCGTTGAGAAGTTCTTTATGAATAATCTCAGTGTAGAATTGTTTTCATATAATGCTAAAGTTATTAGTTGTTTAACTATTTTTGTAATAGTAAAAAGCTGTTTTAATTTACTAATATCAGATGTAAGTTGCGACCAGTTCAGTGTACTTTTAAATTTGAGGTGACTGACTGATTTCTGTGGATATGCGTTGAAGAATTTTAGCTTTCCATTTTAAGAAGGTATCTATGGGAAAATTCAGTTGATAGCTTGCTTTAACTATAAATTCGTTGATGTTGTTTTCGAAAGTCTTGTAACAGTAATTTGTAGTCATGTTTCTGACTGGTCTAAATTTTGTACCATAACTCATTAGTGTTTTTAGTTGATGGTTTTGTATGATATTCAGGTTGCCAGTAATTATGTGCTGGTGATGAGAATCTACGTAATTGCTGTAAATTGGTGTCTTACAATGTCATTCTGCAGTTTCATCTATTTCATGGTGGTTAGTAAGCAAGTTGCTTAAGGTCCTTTGATATTTAAATGCAATCATTGGTATAGTGTCAACTGCGGGGAAGTAATCTTTACAATCTCTGATGATTCTTGAGAAATGAATATTGTCAAACTGCGGATGCAGAAAATTGACTTTAAAATAAATTTTGCGTTGAGTGAGACTATTAGAGAGTCTGAAAAGACTAAAATCAAGAATCATGTCTTTAATGATTTGTATGTCGTCGTAACTTTCTTGAATGAATTTTTTAGTTTGATAAGGAATTTATTAGTACAGGAGTGTAACCAGTTGAGAAGTTTCTTGGGAAAACAGTCTGAGTCAAAAAAACATTTCAATTGTTTTTTCAATGCAAGTGTATCCAAAGTGGATAAAAATCTCGCATTATTTTTTATTTTGCTTCCTCTTTTTCCTCTCTGCGTTTTGATGCTGTATTTTGCTTCCTTTTTTTCCTCTCTGCGTTTTGATGCTGTATTTTGCTTCCTCTTTTTCCTCTCTGCGTTTTGATGCTGTATTTGCTTCCTCTTTTTCCTCCCGTTTGATGCGTATTTGCTTCCTCCCTCTCGTTTTTTTTGCTTCTTTGCTCTGCGTTTGATGCTGTATTTTGCTTCCTCTTTTTCCTCTCTGCGTTTTGATGCTGTATTTTGCTTCCTCTTTTTCCTCTCTGCGTTTTGATGCTGTATTTTGCTTCCTCTTTTTCCTCTCTGCGTTTTGATGCTGTATTTTGCTTCCTCTTTTTCTCCTCTTGCGTTTTGATGCTGTATTTTGCTTCCTCTTTTTCCTCTCTGCGTTTTGATGCTGTATTTTGCTTCCTCTTTTTCCTCTCTGCGTTTTGATGCTGTATTTTGCTATATTTTTTTTTTTTTTTTTGAAAAAAATCAAACAAATTAAATAATTTTACCTTTTGCTGGTAAAACCGACAAGTATCAAAATAAATAATTTACATCTAATAGAAAATACTCAATTTCAAGAATTTGATTCTTTTACTTCTTTGTCAGCTTTAGCTAGCTGCCTGCAAAAATTCATCACAGTAAACAATATGCGAGCTGTAATGAAGAAAAAAAAATTTTAAAGGCCATATTCAATAAAGAGTATTATGAAGAGTATTAAAATTATTTTATGAATAAAAGTATACTTCATTAATAAGTCAAAAAATTATTTTATAAATAAGTATACTTTATAAGTAATATATCTCTTTATAACTAAGTCTTTATAAAAGACTTATTTATAAAGTCTTTTCATGAGTTAATTTCATGAAAAAGAAACAGAAAAAAAGGTCTTCGGGCAAAACAGCAGGTTGTAAAAAGCAAAGGGAAGTTCGCTCCATTACCACAGAAACTTTATTTTCTTTCATCAATTTTATTTTTTATGTATAGTTGGATAGAGAAATAACCAGTTTATAGTCTTAGATAAATAATTAATTTATAATTACAACTTGAGAAAAAAAACGTATTTCAGGCGATATTAAGAAGTTTAGATAATTAATATAAAGCGGTCGATTGAAAAAAAATATCAAGGGAATATAAAACACATAAAGACATTTCTAAACATTTTGTAGATTAAAAAAAAAAAAAAAAAAAAAAAAAAAAAAAAAAAACGACGAAAAGAAATTTGGAAAATATTTATTATCTACTTATTTTCCTCCGTTATTATGCATGTTTGAGGTTAAATTTTCTGTCTCCAACGTACTGTTACTTATTTAGCATCTGATAAGTAGCAGAAAAAATCATCTTAAATATTAACAGATATGTTTTGCAATCTCATATCAATTTGTAAATAATTGATATGAAAGTGTATGTTTAACGTTTAACAAGAGAGGGCACGTGCTGAACTTTAGATAATAAATTCCTGCTTAACCGCTCCCCCCCCCAATAATATTCTTATGCTTATCGAAGAGATAACGCATACATATATATTAAAACAATTATATCTTTTGTAGGTGAACGGTGTTAACACACAAGGAGAAAATATAGCTGATAATGGAGGGCTCAAAGCAGCTTACTGGGTAAGAAAAGTGTTTGAATTTCATGAAATCACGCATTTGTCCTTACAGGTTCAAATATATAAAACAGAAGAAAACGAGAAAAAGTGAAATACAGAAAATACTGATATTATGATATGTGTAAAAGATAAATGTTGTTAAGTATAAAGAGACAGTAATAAGTGTACTCTCAATTATCCAGGTTTATTCTGGGGGAGCAGGTCACGGATAATTAAAAAACACAGATAATCCAAACTATTAATTTTCATGCATATTTCTAGCCCAAAGGGCGTTAGCCCAAAAGTGCTATTAATTTCGTTTTGTCATTTTGCGTTGGTTGACTATAAATGTCGGTTCACTTTTCAAATTGTTGCCATCAAATATTAGATCCCTGTGTTATATTTAAAGAAATTAAATAATGAAGAATCTACGGAAATGTATGTATATTTCTCGCATTGGGATAAAACAACGGTACTTAGAGCCATCCAATTTTGAATAACGTAATCCTCCTCCGAATATGGGCATCTGGAAGCCCAAATTTGGAATTTGTTTTGTTATCGATTTCATATTTTGTAAACTTTAACGAATTTCTGATTAACAAAATTCAATGATTTCAAAGCAAGCAATGGCAATACTATACGAAAAAAAAGTTATCTCCAGCGAGCGAAACTCTGTGTCGGAAATTTTAAAGATATGCTCATTTTAAAATTATTTTGCGATATTGCTGTTGAATTGAATTTTATGGTTTAAGTGCGAAGAACATGATATTTAATAAATAAAGGTAACACACAAAACGTTAAAAAACGCCCCTTCGGGAGTAATGTAAAATCTGAAAGCTTTCATATTTTATTTTTTATAAATTTTTTTTTCTTTAAAAAAATCAGTAATTTGTTTTTGAAAACGTTTAAATATTTATCGAATTTCACTGCATACGAATTTCACTGCATACCGTTTCGAAGTGCAATTTGATTTTCGTATCTGAATCTACTTTTGTCGACGAAGTCCAGTAATGCTTTTAATAGAAATCATTACTGTCTTTGTTCCAATAGAATTGTCAGTATCTTCCTCGCTTGTCTTTTTAGTATCACTCTCCAACTTTTCTGTTCTGGTAACATTTGAAATTATATCCACATCAGTCAAGAACTGAAAGCCCAGCTCAGTCGAATAGCCATCAACCATTCCTCGAAGCTTATCCGATTGTCATTTACGTACAAATATGACAACTATATATGAAACACAAAACTCCCAGCGATCAACGGATACGATGCCTTCCAGTTTATGCGCCTTCAGAACGAATTTTAGGAGGATATCGTTGAAGCTAAGCCCAAAGACGCAATTCATCGGTTTTTAGAGCATGCTCGGGCTTGCGATTGTTTGTTTTTTACACACTCTCGGGTTGAGATTGTTGAGCAGAAATTCCGATAGAAAGTCTCGCGCAATGGAGGCGAAAATGTTTTTTTATTGTTTCCATTGTCGACTTTAGACATTACGCGCGCTGGAGATAAAAAAAAAAAAAAATCTGTACAGTGTTGCCATTGATCGCTTTGAAATCGTTGAGTTTGTTACTCAAAAATTCATTAAAGCTTTACAAAATGTGAAGTAGACAATAAACCAAATTGGAAATTCTAAATTCCTCCTTCCAGATGCCCATGTTGTGGTGGAGAATTACGTTATTTAAGATTTGATGGCTCTTCTTTTTTAATAATGCGGAAAAAATGCATACATACATGCAAATTCTTCGTTATTTATTTTAAGTATAACAATAATAATAATTTAAGTATATTTTAAGTAATACAGGGCTATAGTATTTGGTGGCAACAATTTGAAAAGTGATTCAGACTTTTGCAGTGATTCAACGCAAAATCCCGTCTTACGACTGATAGCCCTTCTAGGTTTACGCTACCTTAGGCTAAAAAAGTAAATAAATTTTAAAAAAAAGATTTATAATTTTTTTTAAAAATAATTTAATATTTTTTTCTTTGTTTATTCCACAGGCTTTTCGAACGCGGTCACTGTTTGGTGGAACAGGTCCAATGCTGCCAGGACTGAAATATACACCGAATCAGTTATTCTGGATAAGTGCAGCACAAGTATGTGCTATATGTCTTTCATACTAATAGAACTTTGTGTAATACATCCGAACTCTGCTATAACGAACTTCAAGGGACCAAACCTTTGCTTCAGAATATTCGGTGGTTTGCTATATCTGATCTTATAAGATTTAAAAAGAATTAGAAATCATTTCACAAAACAATGTAACTGTTTAGCATTGTCACATCTTCTAAAAGACGTTGGTAGTAACTTTAATTTTAAACAAATTGTAGGACTCTCTGCTGTGTAACTCTAAGTTACTGTTGGAAGTGAAGAATCTTAAGAACCGATAAGCAAATAATCGCTTGAGTTCGTGTGACAGGAAACAACAAGATAGAAGGGTAAAATAACCCTTTAATTATTCCAGAGTTTAACAAAACTCTGTCTTGGAGTTGTACAATAAAGCCGACACCTTGGGCTTGAACTTAAGAAACTAAGAATTAGACTAAATTAACCTTAACTAAAGAGATATGGCCGAACCCATTAAAATTCTAACAGAGTTGGCCCCTTGACGCTAATTGCCTGCTGCCAAGGGCGTAATAATAGCTTACGAGAGAGTAGCCTAAAAAGGCGGATGCGTGCAGCCAGAGTATCTAGTATCTCACTCACAGTTTAACTCAAAATTTAAAAACTGTAATAAAATTAACATAATCCTTATAAAGTAATATAAAAAAAATTAGAATTCCTACTTCGGTCTACAAAGAAAAATTTTATTTTAGTTACTTTTTATTAACATTATTAAAATTTTTTAGTTACATTTAAAAAAATTATATTTTAAGCATATATTTTTATCACGTTAACATAGAAAGAGGGGAAGAATTTTTTGCTACATAATGGGACATTACATCCGCTTCATCCAACTCTATAAAATTACAATTCTTTAATTTCATACACTTTAAAAATTTTTAGAACTCTGTCTTACTGTTGCCACTTATTTTTGTTAAATATTACAATCCTATTTATCAAACTCTATAGAACTACAATTCTTTAATTCCATACACTTTAAAAATCTTTAGAACTCTGTCTTACTGTTGCCACTTATTTTTGTTTAATATTATAATCTTATTTATCACAGGTATGTACTATTATTTATAAGTTGTTATAAAATTAATTTTTACAGCACGTGAAAATTTCTAATAAACGGTCATTATTTATAAGTCTTATAATATATTAAAAGAATCTGATGTATACACCACATGACTTGTACGGAATATTAAATTATACGCATTTTTTCTTGCATTTCGTTTAAACTTATTGGATTGAATTAAACCTACTTCGCCGACAGCCAGCACATAAACCACAATAGAATAAATGCATTCCTTAAAATTCTATTTGTTTACCATAGCGACATACTGGCGCTAGGTTCACTTAACAGTATTATATTTCGTTCATATTATAACTCAGAATGCACAAAATTTATATCATTTAAAGAATTATCTAATCATTGCTACATGTTCTATTCAAATACTACAATAAAGCTAGAACGATGTATAAAAGAAATTAAGCAAATAAAACAAAAAAGAAACAGTTTTTCACAGATGATTGAGTATTTCTCATTCAATTAATTCATTCCTCCCTTCGCGACACACAAAAATACATAAAAACTCAAAATATCTGTATTAAGAATTACAAAGTAAATTTTAAACACTTATTTCCTCGAAAAAATTCCAGAAAGGATTAAGCATGATTTAATTCGCAATAATAAATGAAGGCGTTATCTTTGTTGTTGCGAAGCTAAGTTTCTCTAGATTGGCAACAAATCCACTATTCTTCTGTTTCAAATGTAAACAAGCAATGACCGCCATCAAAAACATTATTAGGCTTAACGGCACTTAAACAACTTTAAAATTGTTGATAATTCTAAAAATATTGCATACATATTTACTAAAGGCATAAAAATCTTAACCGGAAGATAAGAACAACATAATTCAATCATTTTTAAAGCAAAAAATGTACAATTTACAAACATATAAGAGTAAAGAAACTGAGATCACTGAGCCTGGTAATAGATGGATATATATATTATAAATATATTTATATACGTTTGGCGCGGCCGATTGCAACCAAAATACGAGATGCACATCTATATGTTATAGTAGTCCTATATACAAAATTTCAACGTTCTGAGGCTACTCGTTTTTGAGTTATGCGAGATACGTACGTACGTACGTACATACGTTCGTACAGACGCCATGAGAAATTCTCTTCAGAATTCATTTTAAAGCAGTTTTATAATGTTTTTGGAGGAAAAGAGTCTTTGATACTGTCCTTACGTACAGATATCACGCAAATGTATCGTTAAATTGCATTCGAAAGCTGTCAAAATGGATATTTTCGTTGAAATATGCTGCCTAAAACTTTTCGCGATTACAATACTTCCTTTTTACTTCGTACAAGGAAGTAAAAAAATCTGATGTGTAAACCACATGACTTTCCTTTTACGGAATATTAAATTATACGCATTTTTCTTCCATTTCATTTAAACTTATTGGATTGAATTAAATCTACTTCGCCGACAGCGTATAAACCACAATAGAATAAATGCATTCTTTAAAATTCACACTATTTGTAAGAATTTAGATTAAAAAAAAACATATTGAAAGTTAATTGTTAAGTTACTTGTGATTATTATTATGTGCAATAAATAAATTTATTTTTTCGTTATTTATCAGTTTCACCGTACGTTAATAATTTTACACTAAAATTACTTAGCAGAAAAGTCATAGTTTAGATCGCTCCATCTAAAAACAAATTTCCATCCAAAATACGCATTTATAATTATGAACAAGCATCAGCCTTGAAATGAATACTGTTTGACACTAAATCAAAGAACTCAAATGGAGTCAAATGGCCTATTCAAGCTGTTCGTCTCTATGAATCGGTGGCCTTTGTGTCATTTCGTGACATATTAGGGTCTCCTAAAATATGGTTAATGTGTGCCTTGGTTTTCCAAGAACTTAGTGTCACACCCTGAGTTACTTGTTGAGCACACACAGAAAGGTGCAGTTAACATAGAACAGCAACCTAAAGGTGCTTTTCGTTATTATAATACTATTCTAATATTCTACGATAGTTTGTAATTTTTCATTTGAAAATTTCAGAAATTCTTCAAAAATACAAATAATTTTCTCTCCAAGCTATCCACAAATTTCGTTATATTTGATTTTTATACATTTGGAAGCTCATTATAGCAGTATCAAATGACATTTAAGTCTATAGAAAATTAAACAGGACGGGAAATTCGAATTTCGTTATATTCCAAGGTTCGTTATAAGTGGGGTTCGCTATGGCGGGGTTTGACTGTACTACATATCATTCGAGTGAAAAAGTGATATTTCAAAATATGCAAAAGCATTCATAAAAAGCAATTTTTTCATAAAATATATAATGTTGTTTACGAGTTGTTATACTAATCAGAGCATTGAATCTGACATAAGAAAAGTATTCAGATTCCAAATATGTTACGAATTCCGATTATATATGTTTAAATAATAAGAGTAAATACTTTTTAGAGAAATATTAAATCATTACTGGAGCCTTTTAGTGAAAATGTTCCTTATAAATGGATGTTCTTTTAGTTTTACTGTCCATCTAGTAGTACGTTTTTAAAAAAATTTGATGTGGACACGACATGCTTCCTTGCATGTCATATTAAATTAAACATATTTTTTGCTGCATTTCATTTAAACTTATTTCCTCGAATTTTTCTGACTTAAAATGAATCGATCCCTCGAGCCAAAGGAGCCAAGTTGAAAATGATATCAAAAGCTGCAAATTTTGATATTAATTATGATGGTCAATTTTGGTCGTAAGGAAGACAAACGTCTTAAAATTTTATTTTTTTTTCACAAAGAGTATAAAACTTTCCCAAATATAAACATAGGAACAGGGTGACCGCATTAAAAGTTAGATTTCGTTATTTGTATTATTTAGATATCGTTATTATTCGCTATTTAGATTATTTAAATTAGACCACATTAGATTTTGTTTAAAATAATTTTTTTAAAAATTTGACATTGCTCACACATGAATATTTTCGGTATTTGAAACACTTCTGTAATAGGAAGTATATGAATACGACCGATGATTGGAAAACTAGAGGTTGGTTAAAGACTCATAAGCCGGGAAAGCGGGGTGGGTATACATACACTTTTGGTACTGCCGAAAGCAATAAAAAAAGGGAGGTGCACAACTAGATGTTATAGAAGTCGCATATGCAAAATTTCAACGTTCTACGGCTAATTTTGAGTTATCCGAGATATGTACTTACGAATATACGAGTATGTCATAAAAATCTATTTTGAGTCCATTTTCAATTCATTTTACAATCCGTTTTGGAAAACAGAGTCCTTTATTCTGTCCGAAAGCATAGACATCATACAAAAAATATTTAAAATAAATTCGGGAACGGTCAAAATGGATATTTCCGTTGAAATATTATACCCGAAATTTTTCCTGATTGCAATACTTCCTTTACTTCCAACAAAGAAGTAAAAAGATCTTTCGACATCAAAATTACTTCTCAGCATTGAGAGGCAATGGACGGCAACTTCATCTAAATTCGGAAAACCGATTTCTCTCATCAATTCCAGAACAATTAGAAACTCGGTCTTCTATTTTAAATTCTGGAATAAAATTAATTTACAACATATTTTTATAGAAATGCTGATGGAAAATAACATCAAAACTAAAACAATCACTCAAATATAAAAACATACTAACAATTATAATAGAAATTAAAATATAACACTCACAAAAAAATCTGTCTTTCGTGTAAAAAATCTGATATTCCCGAAATCTTACAAATTCTCCTAAAATTCGCTAAAATGATCGCAGAAATTCTCCTTGCTTTAAAGTTGCCACATTATTTATTAGTTATTTAACTGTTTCATATTTTAAGGACAAATTCAGTACGCTATTACTTTAAAAAAGTCTTAAATGCACCATAACTTTCAGTTAGCTTTATAGAGTCCGACTAATAAAAACAGTTGTTAAATAGAAATTGTACATTAGCTTATATTGTTGGTATTAATGTAAATATGACTGATTGCAGAAATAAAATTTTTTTAGGTGTACTGTAGCAAAATTACACCAGAGTTTGAAAAATTCAACATTATGGCTGGATCACACACTCCGCAAAAGTTTAGGTAAGCAATTCGATGTACACTTTTTGCTTTAAATAGTAATATATTTATATATATATTGTATGACTTAGTGCGAAATCGAGTTATTCTACTACTTGCGCATATATATATATATATATGAAATGTAATTTCTCGTACATTATTTGTTTTGTGCAGCCGGGGCAACAGGAATGAGACAAAGTTTTGGAATATAAAGCGATACGTTTATTTTAGCATCCGTCTCACAAGTGTTCCTCCTCGTACCTCTGAGGAGAAGTCCTACTTTATAGATATGTGTACATCACGTGCTCATCCAATCAGCGATATTAATTGAAATCACGAGATGACGCTATCTCCTCATCAGGAGTGTTCTTAAGGTCTTTATGTAATATGACAGATTTAATACAGAGTTAATATAACAGGTTAATATAATATTTGCCAACAAGGTTATATAATTTATACGTAATAAAGAAAGGATTTCGCCAAAATTTAGGAACAGGGATGCAAATTTAGGTAGAGAATCGCCAACGCATTATTAAGCAATATTATTAGAATTTAATTTAATCAATTGATTTAAAAATATCATTACATATATATATACGTAAAAAAGCAATTTTAAAGTTAAAATAATTAAAAAAAGTGCAAACATATAAAAGATTTAATTTTCGAACTAATCTACAATATCATTTAAATTCAGCATAAGTAAATCAAGTGCAAAACCAATCCATGAAAATAAATTCATCAATTTAGCAAATTAAAATTAATCTAATTTTTTTTTAAATGCATAAGTGAATGACTGTTGAGCAGGAAGGAGACAGACTTATCAAGGGGAAGTTGCCTCCAAACCTAACTCTCCAATCATTCAATTCGTGTTTCGTCATTCATGCAGGCAAGGGTAAAAGTCAAAACCAAAAGTAAAGAGTGAAGAATGTCCAAAAAGATGGTGTATTGGTGTACTGAGAATACGGAAAAGCACACTAGGGCTATCTGCCTAAGGGAAGGGATGCCTTCGTGGAGGACTTTCTAAGGGAAACTGGCTCGTATACACGTTACAATGGGGGAAAACCACGAAAACGCCCATGTAGCCAGCCCGTTCAGGGGATTCGAACCTCGGACCGAACTACCAGTGTTCAGCAATTTTACTGCTCGGCCGCTGGTGGGCTTGTCCAAAAAGAAATACCAATAAAGTGGTACCTTTAGAAATTAGCAATTAAAAATTAAAGTTCTAAAAGGAAAATACCTATGAAGTTTTTTGAGAAATGAGCAATGTAAAGTCAAGTATTAAATTAAACTTTTTAAAAAATTTAAAAAATTAAATTAAAAAAATTATTTTTTCAGAAAAATTAATTTAGAAACCAATGCATTTTAGAAACCTTTGTCTACAGAAACCTCCCCGACACGAATGTGCATATCAATAAAAAGAAACTAAAAAGGAACTAGACATAATTTATATAAACCAATAAGAAACAAAAAGAACTAATTCATAATTTTTAAAAAACAAATATATACTTAAAAATATAATTCGTATCTAGAAAATACTTAAATACTACATAAAAATATTAAAAAATACTTAAAGCAAGTAAAGATTAAGTTTTTAATTCTAACTTACCTACTATATTAGCGTTGGGATCTGCAAAAGTATTTCCAAAGTGATGTAAGTGTGTTCTTCAAATTATATAAATGGCGCTTATGTAAATAAAGTTGAAGTGCCAAGCTGCTATCTTTGTTTTTAAAATTTTTTGTAAACTTTAATATTAAAATATTTAAATATAAATCTAGAAAAATTAAATATTCTAAAAGTATGTAATTCAAGTTTTCATTTAAACTGATCAACTATTTATGGTAGGGAAAGGCAGGCATTAACTTTACTTTATAATTTTTTGGCTCTTTTTGGTATGATAAAATTACCTTAAACCTTAGCTGGAGGGTAATGGAGGATATATAAGAGTAAAGGAATTATCTTGTAAATTTTTATTGTAAATAAAGTTTTAAATATGTATATTTAATCAATATTGGATTCTTTCCATTTACTAATAAAGGGCCAACTCTTTCCAAAAGTCTCAATTATAGCCCGAATGAGTGAAGATTTTAATCTTCTCTTCTAATTTTCCATACTTTAGCCAGTATTTAGTTAATTTTGATATAACCAGTTGAAATCAGTTTATTAAACTTTCAATATTTCTTTCATTAAATAGAGCTTTTAATTAACTTTTTTAAGGAATTTTTGGGAGATTTCTGGGAAATTTCTAGGAAATTTCTGGGGATTTTTTTAGAGATTTTTTAAGTAATTCATTTCTAAAAATTAAAAAAAAATTTTTTAAGACTTTTTAAATTTAAATTTTTTTTTTTTTTTAATTTTTAAAAAAATTTTAAAACATTTCAGTTTTACTTAATTATTTTTTAATTATTTTGCAATTTTTCATAAAAACATTTTTTCACTAAACGTTATTATTTGCAATATTACACATTTTGCAACAGAACACACATTTCACATTACAACAGTTTACATTTATTAATTCACTATAACCACTTAACTCTACTTTACTTCAATTAGTAACTCTTTTTATGATATTTGCAAAGAAAATCTCTTGATTGGCTCAGCTACTTAACTCCCTACCATAAATAGTTGATCAGTTAAAATTAAAACTTGAATTACATACTTTTAGAATATTTAATTTTTTCTAGATTTATATTTAAATATTTTAATATTAAAGTTTACAAAAAATTTTTAATAAAACAAAGATAGCAGCTTGGCACTCAACTTTATTTACATAAGCGCCATTTATATAATTTGAAGAACACACTTACATCACTTTGGAAATACTTTTGCAGATCCCAACGCTAATATAGCAGGTAAGTTAGAATTAAAACTTACTATTTACTTGCTTTAAGTATTTTTTAAATATTTTTTATGTAGTATTTAAGTATTTTCTAGATACGAAATTATATTTTTTAAGTATATATTTGTTTTTTTAAAATTATGATTAGTTCTTTTGTTTCTTATTGGTTTATATAATTATGTCTAGTTCCTTTTTAGTTTCTTTTATTGATATGCACATTCGTGTCGGGGAGGTTTCTGTAGACAAAGGTTTCTAAAATGCATTGGTTTCTAAATTAATTTTTCTGAAAAATAATTTTTTAATTTATTTTTTTTTTTTTTTTAAATTTTTTAAAAGTTTAATTAATACTTGACTTTACATTGCTTATTTCTCAAAAACCTTCACAGGTATTTTCCTTTTAGAACTTTAATTTTTAATCGCTAATTTCTAAGGGTACCACTTTATTGGTATTTCTTTTTGGACATTCTTCACTCTTTACTTTTGGTTTTGCCTTTTACCCTTGCCTGCATGAATGACGAAACACGAACTGAATGATTGAAAAGTGAGGTTTGGAGGCAACTTCCCCTTGATAAGTCTGTCTCCTGCCTGCTACACAGTCGTTCACTTTGCATTTTTTAAAAAAATTTGATAAATTTTATTGCTATTTGGTGATTTATGTTCATGTTTGGTTTGCACTTGATTTACTTATGCTATCGAATTTAAATGATATTATAGATTAGTTCGAAAATTAATCTTTATATGTGTTGCACTTTTTTTAATTATTTTAACTTTAACTCCTTTTTTACGTATATATTGTTCGTTAAAATTTAAATTTAATTTAAATTTCATTCCTTGCAACAATGGCGCAAGAAATAATTATTTAAATTATTTTTAATTAAAAATTTTATTAATTTTTAAATATAAATTAAATTTATTTAATTATTTTATTATTATAAACAATATATATATATATATAAATATATATAAAAATACATATATATATTTTTTTTGAGAGAGACATGTGCTACCATTTTGGTCAAGAAAAATTTTACTTTTAATTTAAACAGATGTTTCAGGTTTTCGTCATTATTTGAAATATATATATGTTTCATTAAACAGTTTGCTTTAAGACAAATTTTAAAAAATGTAAATTAAAAATGTTTATGTTACGCATTGACGAATTAAAAATATCTTTCTTTTCAGGGTAATAGGAACAATGTCTAATTTACCAGAATTTTCTGAAGACTTTCAGTGCGAACCAGATTCGGCAATGAACCGAAAAACCAAATGCCGAGTTTGGTAGAATGTCAGTTATGCCAGATAAACTGTTCTACGAAAGAATACATTGGCATTATTGATTTATTGCTATTTTAAGTGCAAGTATAACACTTATCTGCAATTATAATTAACTCTATTTTTAAGAATAAAGTTTTGAAATTCCTATCAATTCTCGGAACTTTTAACGAAAAATTCAGATTAAGGTTGGAGACTTTTGGTAATTTCTCGCCAAATTTGTCGACAAAAATTAGTCGCCAAAACCATCGCCAGCTGGGCGATATCTCGCCAATGTAGCGAGATAGCCATTTTCTCTATGTTAACAGATTTGCCCCTGTATTCTTATTTTTTCAGCAGAGAATTGCCTCTTCCAAGTCTTTGATGTTACATTATACAAAAAATACTACAATATCACACATAATTTCATCAAAATTATTTAAATTTGTACGAAATTCCTACCACTGTTTTACTTTTTTTTTTTTAAATTTATGTGCCAAATTGCAATTATTTTTAAATGCATGATTTTATATTTAGATTTAGCTATCAAATTGCAAACTTTTGACTTAAAACATGTTTTTGGATACATTTATTACCAAATTCAAATTTTCTAGTAAATATATTTTTGGTAGATCACTGAATACCTCTTTTAGCAGTTTTACCCAATTTACTATTTCTCTAAGAATATAGTAAATAATAACTATCCATTTCACATTTAAACATTAATCTCATTGTCTCAGATCGTAGTCTTGATTGCCTTACTCAGCTTGTCAACATTGCTTCATTTTTTGAAACAGATAGAACAACTAACTGATCTCAGTTCTACAAATATCTGAAGTTGGCACATTGCAAGGAAATCAATAATGTAAGCAATATGCAAAATATTAGTTTCTCTAATATTAATTCCATTTATAGGTACAGTGTAATCTGAATGTTCTATAAATCTACATACTCAGAGCTCAGGGCTTAAAGTAAACACTAAGGAACGTATGGCCAGACATAGTACTCTATAATCTTATAGCATCTGTTGCTGTTAATTGCGAAGAAGTATCTACAAGATTTATTTACTTTCGAATCCTCAAGCAGTTACTCAGGTACGAATTAATGATTATTATTGTTATAACTTATCTGTAGGATAACTTATTGGCATTAAATTGCAAAATTTTAAAACACCGTACACAATTATTTATTTATTTTTAATATCTGTAAAACGTGTTGTCGCTTTATCGCATTTCAAGAATACAATATGTTCGATTATGCAAAGGATTATTAGATGGTACAACTCGCTTGTTACAATTTCAGTACATCTGACATGGTGTTCCAAAAGATATTAGTCGGGACTCGTTAATTCTGCTATGATACCTTAGGTTTCGTAGTCAATAGCTATCAAGGTCTCTTCTGAATGCAATTTATTGTCAAGCACTAGCTTTGTTAATTGCCAGTTCTTAAAAGAATTTTAATCGTGTGTAAGTTGACACATTGTAGCTTCCTGTTTTTGTGAAGATTATTTCACGATGGCTTTCAGATATTCTAATCTCAATATATTGCACTGAATTTATTTTTCCGAAAATGTGTTCCTCCTTTTAAAACTATCCACAAATCTCTTTTAGGTTTCCGTTTCCTTTTTCAAACGGATTTCCGTTTGAAGAAGAACTTTTCCATTTCGGGTAATAGTTAAAATTGAAGACCCGGAGGGAAAGGGAAACCATTTATGTTCGTTGATAAGAAATTTGAGAAAAATGAATTTTTAGTGTAACTTCAGTGATAAAAAAAGTATTGTTATGAACCAAGGAAGGAATTTCTAATAAACTTTCAACATTTGTTTAGCGAAATTTGTAAATAAAAAATGCATATAACATAGGAGAGAAATGATTTTTAATTTTTTTAAATTAAATTAAAATTCTTTTTTCCTAGTTTCTTCTGTAAATTTTGCGAAGACAAATCTTCTCTATCATAACCGGCTTCTCCTCAAATGAAGTTCTTTTTCCATCATTTTATTTTTCAGATCCTGAACCAGTTTAGCTTTTTCTTAACCGTCGATTTTTATTTCTTCTTATCCTTATTAACGATATTAAGTTCTCCGATTATTTAGCAAGTATACCAATCTCTGCTTTTAATGTATCACAAGAACTATAAATGTCCTTTCTTGGGTAGTTGAATCTGATGCTAAACTCAGAATGAAAAATATTTCTGAATTTATCATACGACTTGTTTTTGACTTTTTGACTGGATTGTTCGTTTTGTACATGTCGAGAAATTTTGTGATGTTTACCTTATAACGTCTCGTACGTTGTTTTGCTATCATAAACTGCGTTAGAACCATTTCCTTTTTAGGGAACTATCTCTAAGTCTTAACGCACAATAAAGTCAAAAGAAGGCTGTAAGCAGCCGCTTATTAACTCAAATAAAAGCTCACAGATCGCACCAACTCGGGCTTACAAAAGCCAACACTTTTGGCTTAACTCAAAAGCTAACTTTGGCTAATTTAAAATCAAATGAAAGTTAAGTTTAGCCCAACGGCTTCACAGGTTAAGTAGCACGCAGGCTGGCCCTGAAGCACTCATAAGTCTAATCGCTAAGAAATCAAAGATAGCAAAGTGACCTTCAGGCAGGTTGAATACGCTCTGATTTCACCTTCCAAAAATCACAGGTTCCATCACAAGCAACGTAATAAGACCTCCGAGGTAGTGGTATTCCGAAGTCCATTAAAAGCTTCGAGAATTCATTGTTTTTCACTATCACAAATCAAAAGGAAGCAAGTTTGCATTTACAATCAGGTCCTAACTCACGTATGGTAGCTCTCAAAATTTTCAAAATGTTACCGATTCTCTCTGCCTTCTTCCTCTTCTTGACAGAAAACTCGGGCCTATACAACTACACTGGATTTAAACGGAGCCTAAACTGGAATCTTCACTTACCACGTTCACATGCGCTACTAAAAACGTAATGGACGAAGCCAACACGTTGTCTTTGCAAGCGAATAAAACGAATAATCATGTTAAATGAATAATCATGTAAAAGAAATTTGACATAAATGCTTCTTCTCACTCGTCGCGTGGATAAAAAATGGTTTTTCTCCCAGTACGCAAAATGTTTTCTCGGTTGTAGAGAAAAGCTAGTGCACTTTTAACTGTATAAATTATTTATTTATACTTAGCTTAGAATATTAAATATAATATAGAACTGCAATACTAATATACTTCTGTTTCTGCCTGTAACCAAACTGTTGTTATTCAAAAATTACTAAATACTATACGTTAAATGTTGCCATTTACAAGTTACTAAATACTAAATGTTGCATTTTCCATTTTTTAAAGACTTCAAAATAATCAGGATTCTAATCACTCCCCTACTTCTAGTTCTTTGCTCACTGTTTCTTAGTAGAGTTTGGTAGATACTTTTCTAAACCCCAGTCTTGAAAAGGTTTGGCATTATAATTTTTTTACATCCGTTTTCTCTGAGGCAACTCCTTGTTCTGTTCCTCTCATACTCTTTTCAGAAATTCAACTATTTTATTTAGTTTCCTTAACTTCTTTTCTATTTCTCCTAAATAATGCTCCTCCTGATCTTAGAATATATGATCTGGGGGATCTTACTTTCTTCTACAACTGGCTTCCAGTGATTTTCTTGATATACCCTAACATAATCTCCTTTGCATTGAAGAGTCATTAGGATTTATTTGGAGGCAGGAGAAATGAAAAATTAAAAACGCCTTCGCCGGGAATCGAACCACGGACCTCTGGAATACCGGCCCAGCGTGCTACCGTTACACTACGAAGGACGCTAGGAGAAGTACCTTATAGCATAACTTATAGCTAAGTGGGAGAAATACCTTATAGCATAACGATGGGAAGGTTATCATATGGCGATCATAAAACTTCTGCTTAGTTATTTTTATGTCGATGTTTTCTTTCACATTTCCCATAACTTGTGGTTTCAATTATTCTTCTGATACAGGAAGAATTGTTCTTATTCTTCTACTCATAAGTGGTTGAGCTGGTGATCTTAACATCTCGTTAATTGGGAGGGTTTCTATGGATTAACAATGTTAAGTAAGGATCAGCATGATCTACTCGAGCTCTCTTCAATAATTTCTTCGCCGTTTGTTCTGAACATTGAATCCATCCAACTGCAGATGGTATGGACTGCTCGCTGTATGTTTAAATTGGTATTTCTCGTCAAATTCCGCTAATTCTTTAGTTTCAGTTGATACCCATTACTAGATATCATTATCAGTTACATCTTGCAAAATGTAGCTTCATATGACTGACCACTGTTTGACTTCCAGTATCCTGTAGTTTGGAGACGAAAAACGTTGGTATAATAACTTACAATTAATAAGTATACATCTTTGTTAATCTCAAAAAATATGTTCCAACTCTATACTAGAGTAAATTAGGAATATCTTCTAGTATCCTAAGTTGCCTTGCTTATGTTCTGATGTTAATTGCATGTAGGATATATTGAAATTTTATTTTCTACCTTCTTGTTCATAAGTCGTCAAAACGAAATATCTGTAGCTCTTTACTTACAATTTTCTGTGCAAAAGTGACCCTCATGTATTAAATGTAACACTTCGTTTTTTCATAGATAAAAAGATAATTACCCTTCATCCTTTGAAAAGACCTTTTCTATTGTCCTTCCTAAGCCGTTTTCTATTGTCAACCCATCTCTATAGCACTAAAACACTCTGACTTGAGATTCTAGTTGATGTTTTCCTACTGATTAACCTCACAGTATATATTTCTTTAAACACTATAGTATAGCATCATACTCACTTTTTCCAGTTCCCCAATTTTTGTCATCAGACGCTGGAATTAGCGTACTAATTTCTGTATCTTCATCATTATCTTCTTCTTTTTTATTTAAATGTGCTCTACTTAAAATGTCTTCTATTCATAAGTCCTTCCCCTTTTTGTAACGCACATTTAGATCACACTTTTGTAAATTTAACAACATTCTTTGTAATCGCTGAGGTGCCTTATATCAATATCTTAATTATGTTTTCCAGTATTCGATGATCAGTTTCAATTTAACACCTTTGTCATACATATATTCATGAAATTTAAAACATCCAAAAGCAATAGCTAGAAGTTCCTTTTCTATCTTAGCATAATTTTTTTAACTCTTCGTCAGAATCCTGGAAGCATAAGCAATGGGTTGATTTTCTGGTAATTAAACAGCGCCCAATCTTTCAAAACTTGCATCTACTGAAAGAGTTGCATCATTAGTAATACTGTAATTAATATTGAAAGAGTTGCATCATTAGTAATACTATAATACTATAAATAAATAGTATAGAATTTTAATACGGGTACTTTTACAACCATTTCTTTAATCGTTAGAATATATTGT